TGAAGCACGTAGGCTTGTAGTTTTCTCTCTCAGTGCTTGTACAGCTGTGTCTACAAATGTATGTGTCCATTCAAAATCCAAGGAAATGTTCCTGGATGCCAGGATTAAGCTTAGATAGCTGCAGCTCTAATAAATCACATGCAGCTCACATTTTAGTTCTAAGTGCTGACAGTTGCTTTCCAGTCCTATTGGAATAAGCAACATCATTCTTCCATCTAAACTCTGTAGTCACAATGTGTTGGTGTATGAACTACATCATGTTGCTGCTCTCAGGATCCTAAGGAGAGATGATATTAAGGTGCCAAGGCAAAAATTCAAGCCTAAAGATTTTATTGACTAGAAGTTAAATGTGTGATACTTAAGTCACGCAAAAACAGTGCAGTGTCACTTGTGTAAACAGGTAGGCTGTGTCTCCTTCCTAAGACTGTGCATTAATAAGATACTTACTGGCCAACCAGTAGCACCAAATATGGCAAACATTTCTCCAAAAGTCTGGCTTCATTATGGCTGGAGATAATGGTGCACAGGTAGTATAGGGGAAAAATCATACTGTCATCTGCTTGGCATGGGTACTGACGGGGAAGGCCACTGAAGGGATACTAACTATGTATTTTGAAGAGGTTTTAATTTTGTGGAGGGGCCAGAAGAAAATTACACCAGAAATCAGAGTAAGCAAGGCTATATATAAGACTTAGTGACATCTGCATTGTGCTGACAAGACATGAAAGATTTTCAAGATAATAGTGTTCCTCATTTTTAGACCTCAGGAAAAAAACACCATCCTGCTAAATAAGGTATTTCATGGCTTATTTTCCTCACTGTGCCTCCATCTAAATTATCCTTGACTCTTTACCTGACAAGGTCTCTCTCCCCTACTGGCTTACACTTTTTCCCCCCAGCAGGATGAACAGTAGCCCAGCAGCAATCTCTAATAAAACCACACCTGTATGGAGAGTAACTGAATTTCCTCTAAGCATGTCAAATGAATCCTAATCACTCTTATCTCACATGCTTTCCAGAGCAGGTTCTTGCAGTTCTCTAACGTTTTAACTTTTGTTTCTGTGCCTGGTTTTAATGTTAAAACTTCTTTCATGGTTCTCTTATGTGATGAACAGGACAAATCTATTTATTTTTATCTCTGGTAAGACTTGCATTCCTTCTACTTACTTATAACCTGCCAAACGGAACTATCTGCATCCACAAATGCCTCTGTAGTCTATTTTTTTATTTTCTCCTACCTCCCAAGTACCCCACATACATTTCCCAGCCTCAGGTGATGGATCCCTCATGTTACATTAAAATGAATGGTGTTCAGATGACTATGTCTTTTCGAGTAGTCCAGATCTTGGTGTATCACCCTGTGTTTACACCTTCAATTTCTGGTGTTCACCAGTCCCATACAACCAGTTATAGAGGCTCCTGTAGAGTGTTAAAAGACTGAAAATGAATGGTGTGAGGTCTTTGGGACAGTTTTGGACTTCTGTTGGATCAAATTTCCTTACAGATATTCCAATTTCTTAAGGGTCTTCTTTCTGGAGGAGTTTAATATGTAAATTTTAATTATTTTAATGCTAGACTGGATTTTTATAATTACTGCTGGCTATGTCTACATCAGGAATGAGTCTGCAAATGAAAATACCTGATGCTGAGGGTTGTGTTCCCACTATGGGTTCTATGTGTGTGGTTAGTTTAGGTCAGCTCTTGCCTGCCTTCGCGGACTTTCCCACCTATGAGCTGTGGAGAGTGTTGAGCATTCACTGGTGGTGCAGCCTCTGGTGATCCATCTGAGAACCTCATGTTCAAGTCAAATTGCAGTACATGGAGACAATGCTTCAAACCCACACTCTTGGCTCTCACTCATTTAGCACCATCAAAGTGATAATCTGCACTAGCGCTTGTGCACAGATCAACACCTGTCAGACAGTCTGGGAGATTACTGTTGCCATTAATGAACTTAATCCACATCTGGAGAAGGCACACAGGGATGTGGAAGATGTCTATCTCTTTGTTAGTTAATGGGAGAAGCTTACAAAGCCAATCTTCAAAGCAGATACAGCTACAGATAGGAAAAAGAGAAAACATTCCCTCTTTGCTTGCCTCCAGTTTGATCTATAAGAGGTCTAATAACATGATGGCAGAATACATTTTGATGTAATGAATAATTTGGCTTACTATGTTTAGTGTAGTGATCAAAATAATAGCAGGACTGACTTTTTATTTGGTGTAGGGAGGGGTAAGAAGGGCAGGGGAAAGCCCCTATCATCTGCTGTGTACTGAAGATATGAAGAGTATTCTCAGAGAGCTCTGGAAATAGGGACTATGTATTTTAGTTAGTGGTATGCTATGCAAACACTTACTGAAAACACTTGAACACCAAGAAAAGCAAATTACTCTGCCCTGGTGGAAGGGGTGGTTAAATTCAACTGCTATTACTGCTATGCAGCTGTTAAAAAACCACCACTGCACCAAAGCAGATGAAACGATTCTGTCATTTACAACATTCTAATACCAGAAAGGATCACCTAAACATGCTAAAAGACAAATGTCAGGATAAAGTACCTGGTGATGCTTTTTCAAGTTGCTCACAACAGGGAAAAGACTAAGAAGTAATGCTGAACCGCTAATCTGAAATTTTACTAACATATTCCAATATTCTTATGTATCAGGTATACTTTCAGAAGTACACTCTCAAGAACTTCCCATTCCTTACAATATGCCCAGCAGAAAAAAGTAAAACTGCATCTTGTTAGCTCCCATACTAGCCTGATGGTCATATAACTGCTCCTCCCAGAAACTGAGACATAATATAGCCTTCTTCTGCAACCTCCTCAGTTATGCAAAATCACAGCTCAAAACTGTAGACTGAGTCACAAACAGAGTGACTGTACAGAAAAATCCAGCTAAGTGCCTTTCTTCCCCCTCTCCCCATTATTGAAATGCAAGCATTTCAAGGTAGGTATTCACACACATCACTTGTTGATGTCTGTTTTAGTGGCACTTGTACAGATGGGAGTTGGACAAGCAGAGAGGTCGACAGACAAAGGTTGTCTAGAGCTGATGCTGCCACCCTTCAGACCTATGTCTAAAGCTGCCTCCTAATTCTGAGAACAACCCCAAGCTGGGCTGCCACCAAACCATCCTCAGAGCTGCTCTGAGGGCTGTGCTGCAGCCTGGGTAAGGCAGCACAGGCAGATGGGGGAAGCTGCTGTGCAACAGCAATGCTCACATAGAGGGAGCTGGGCTGTTCAACAGACATGATGCATTCACCTGTGCTGGCTGAACTGGGGCAGGTATAAAAGAAAGGCCAAGTGCCCTATCAGCTACGTTGCTTAGGGAAGGTATGAGTGGGTTTGTCTCTTTGTGGGAGCTCCCATTCTCAAGGTGCCTTAAGTGTAGTGAAAACAACCCTCAGCGTCAGCTCTTCTTCCTGCTTGATTTTATATTGTGGTCACAGCTGCAAAGGTAAGGATGTTATTTTGCTCCTCTGGCATTGAGTCAAAACCCAGAAGTTTGTATTAGAAAAGTGGTCTGGAAAGTACTGTATTAACAGACATGCAAAGCCTCTGACTTCTGGGGAATAACCAGCTTTGAAGTAAAATACACTCAGCAATAATCCATGCACACTTCATTAATTTCAGAACTGCAAAAGCAAAGTACTACTTAGAAAAAGCTGTAAGATAGTAATGAAGGCTTTGGGGTTTATTTTTATTTTTAATCCCAAAAGCTCCTTATCTCCCTTCTCCATGTTTTTTCATTCAATTTTCAGTAGTCTAAGTTAAAGCTCATCTAATAAAAAAAATGACACATTAAGTTTGGCTAACCTCTTCACCCCCCTCTTGATGAGAGTCCTTTCTTCCTTGGGGAGTAAATGCAACAACTTCACAATTGGTACATTGCTTATTTAAGGTAACTTTCCTCTGCGTTTTGTGTTTAATGGAATTTGGCTGATCTAGGAGATTTCGGCACTTAAATAATTGAGATAGTGAGGGCAGCAATTTTTGCCAAGTCTTAAATAGCACAAGTATCTCTAGGCAGAAAGGCAGTATTTTGTTATCTGTCAACATGCATGCATCTTTCTCTACCACACCCCTAATCAAGTTTGAGAACCCTTGACATGGACTACTGCGTGATATGAAACACCGGTTTACTGTTCAAATTTGAGTCAAAGCTTAGACTCAAAACAAAGAGTAGTTGTAGTTTAACACTGGATTTAAGTGCAGGTCTGAAGAGTTGCTGCTGGAACGGGAGTGCTCATGCCACTTTTCCCGTCCTACTGCTGGGCTGTGCAGCTGCAGTGCATGCCATGCCCAGAAAGCCTTGATGCACTGGAAAAAACAACTTTCAAAAAGCCAGCTGATGCAAGAGGTACAATACGATGTTCAGCTGGGCTGGTGGAACAGGGCCACCTTGCTGTCGCAGCCTGCTATTACTCCAGCCTTTGAGGCCATAGTCAGAGTTCTTGAAATTTGTTTCAATACTTCATCAAAAACTGGCTCTAAAACAAGAAATGCAGGCCACTCCTACACTTCAAGTTACATGTTCTCTTTCTTGCACTTAAAGAGTTCGTATGAATGAGCAAAAAGAAACCAACTAGGCTGGAAAGCAGGAGCAACTAGCCTCGCCGGTAAGAAGGGTAAGGGAAATCTTGTTAGCTTCAATGATCAGAGTAGATTTAAAAAGGGATGTTCCAACTTTTATAAAGAAATAAACACAGCAATCACTTTCCTCTGCAATGTTTGAACATGAAATCTGTTCAAGACTACCTGATTGTTTCACCAGCTGTATCCGAATAAAAAAGGAAATCTGACTGTAGATTCCTTACTATGCAAATGAGTTACTGCAACCAACTTGCTTTATATTCGCCCTACCTCTTCACATTTCCTCCGGCTGTGCTCCTGCCACCGTGTTGCCTGTTTTCAGCAACAAGAGATGTTTTCTGCCACAATTCTGATTACTCTCTGTGTATCAGGCTTTCTTTGTAGCTTGCTAGATAATTTTACCTCACACCGCTCCTCTGGAGGCAGACAGAAGTATCCTAAGTGCAAATACCATTAACAGGGCCCGAGGGGAAATGTGTCCAGGCTCTCGGAGTCACCGAGCGATTCCCTGCTCGCCCTCGCCGTGATGCCACGGCTCAGAGGCCCCGGTTTGACCCCCGCCGCCCTTGCAGGCGGCCGCCCCTCTCCGCAGTCGCTGCGGAGCAGCTTTGGCCGCGCCGGGATTCCCCCGGTGCCAATCCCCACCCAGCCTCTTTCCTCCCCCACGCGGCCCCGACCGCCCCCCGCGGCCATTTTGTGCCGAGCTCGCCAGGAAGGGCGGCGGGGCTCGCTCGGGTGCGGCGGTACCGGCGGGAGCGGCTGCGGTGCCCGCCCTGGCCGCGCCCCGGACTCGGCCGCCCGTCTCCACTCACGGCAGCCGCGGTCGGCGTCGGGCTCACGTGGGGGCCGCCATTGCTGCGGTGCCGGCGGGACGCGGCAGGGGGCGATGGCGGGCGGCGCCGCGAGCGGCGGAGGGGAGGGGACTGTGTTAGAGCACCTCCTGACTCGGAAGGGACCCGCAAGGATCATCGAGTGCAGCTCCTCGCCCTGAACAGGACACGCAAGAGTCCCTGTGCTTGAGATCGTTGTCCAGCCGCTTCTTGCACTCTGTCAGGCTTGGTGCTGTGGCCACTTCCCTGGGGAGCCTGTTCAGTGCCTACCCACCCTCTGGGGGAAGAACTTTTATCTGATATCCAATCTAAACCTCCCGTAATACAACTCCAGGCCAGTCCCTCGGATCGTGTAACCAGAGAAAAGAGTTCAGTGCCTGTCCCTCCTCTTTACTTCAAGAAGAAATTGTAGACTCTGATGAGGTCTCCTCTCGGTCTCCTCCAGGTTGGACAGACCAAGTGAACTCAGCCACTCCTCCGCCTCCTATTGCTTCCCCTCACAGCCCTTCGCCATTTTGGTTGCGTGTCTTGTGTCTTGTCACGCCATTTTGTGTCTCCTTTGGACTCTCTTTAATAGCTTAATATCTTTTTTATATTGTGGTATCGTGTCATGGCAGTGCTGGGGCTGCCTGTGTCTCAAGCAGCATTTTCCAAGGGTCCCTCTTCTCAGTGACAGGGTTTAGAGTTTCCTTAGTCTGTGCCTTACCGGAGGTGCCAGATGTCCTGCAATCGTGGCCTCGGCTGCAGGTTGTGTTGTGGGGAGCCTGCGAAGAGACAGGTGCAGTCCCCAGGCAGCGTTGCTGCACAGGCTTCCCCACAACCCACATCCCCTCAGCTCCATGCTGGTCATCCAGGCCACACCTGAGCTTGCTGCCAGAGATCCACTCTCTTCTGTGGTGCTTTATTATTTTTTCCTCTTGTGCAGTCAAATAAAATTGAAAAAAATAACAGTGTCTGTCCAGTAATTCCCAAAGAAAATCCCGGATCTAATCTGGCTATCTGATTCCACACAGTGATATTAATATTTAATTTAATTGCTGCTGTCTTTAGCTCATCTTCTTCATAACAGATTTATCCCTCTCCATTGTTCCATGTAAGCTGGTGTCACTGTTGGAGTTTATTTAAGCGAGCTGTCCAGCACTGTCCCTGAACTCAGCACTTAGGCTGTGGTGCTTGTAAAGTGTGTGTGTTAGCAGTGCTGGATTACGTGGTCCCAAGACTTGGCTCACAGTTTTGATTCATCTGAAATTAAATGATGAGTGTACCGATAACATCGGAGTGTGTTCTGCTGCTGTTCCTTAGTGTATCATACCTGCTTTGATATTTATTGTATGTGTTTCCTGGCTGAGTTGAGTTGGACATTATTCTCAGGGCTGTTGTGAAGCCAGCTTGTTCTGTTATCCAAGTAGCTTCCATCTTTTTATTTACACCTTTTGCCTTACTGTTGTGATTAAGTGCAATACTATCTGCTATTTCATTTTCCAAAATAAAAATGCTTCTTCCCATGGCATGCTTCTAGCAGTTTCCAGGCAACTTCTACCATCAGGAGCTGATTACACTATTGCATTTCTTAGTTTTTCCTGACAAAAAAACCTGAAAAGTGAGAGGTTTCTACATTGTAGCTGAATTAATTAACAGATCTGCTTCCTAGGACTTGTAACACTCCTGGAATTGTGGAAGGTGGGAGTAGGGAGAAACATGGTATGGAAAGACAATCATCAGAACAAAAGGACATGCAGATATGACCAAAAAAGAGACAATGAGAAATAGAGAACAAAAAAGAAGTGAATAAGCCAGCCTCTTCTTACATTCCTGAAGAGCCCTGTTAAGAGACTGTTTTGTACGCAAAGCTGCAGGTTTTTTTCTCTCCTCCTGTCTTTCCGCTACTGTCCCTTCTTTGTGGAAATTAGTTGCCTTTACCTTCAGGGTGGTCTGACTCCTACATACCTAATTATACTCTGAAAGATCTATTTCATACATTTCAGACCTGAAGAAAGATTTTGTGCCAAAAACTTGTCTTCAGTTCCCAGCTTTGCCTGTGTGGGCCTATCTACCCCAGCTGGCCCTTTTTCCTGGTAATTTTGAAATTATGAAAACTGTGCAGTACGCATACAATATTGATGAAGCTTTACCGGTACTGAAAGGTACTTACTATTTATAGATGCCCCCTCTGCTATTTCCACATGGAAGGAGAGACAGCTGGTGTAAAATGCCAGTATTACTATGGCTATGCTGGGGCCTATTTGCTGTTGCTTCTTCCTGTGCTGGCATTTTCCCCTGTGCACTTGTCACCACCCTGGGGACCCAAGTCATGCTGGCCACTCATCTCACAGCCACAAATAACTCTGGCCCCAGAGCAGGAACTCTCCTGAGGGTGGCACGGGGCTGGCCACCAGCTGTACCAGGGCAGTGCCCTCAGCCTTGAGGGATGCAGAGCTGCAGGGCCCGTGGCTCTCTGCTGGCCGCACACCAGAGCTCCCAGCTCCAGCAGGCAGGGCCTCAGTGCCTGTCCTGTGCCTTCTCCCTTGATGGCCGTGCCAGGACATGCTTGCTGCCCTGATGGTGGGGCTCCTGGCCCCCAGGGGTCTCCAGTACTTCTCCTGGGACACCCCCCTGTATGGGAAGTCCCTACACAGGGCCCAAAAGAGGTGTGCAAACGGGCTGTTTACAAGGGCTTGGAGGGACAGCACCAGGGCCAGTGGCTTCCCATTGACAGAGGGCAGGCTTAGGCTAGAGATGTGGAAGAACTTCTGGCCTCTGAGGCTGGTGAGGCCCTGGGCCATGCTCCCAAATAGACGCTGTGGCTGACCCATCCCAAGAAGTGTTTCAGGCCACGTTGGATGGGGCTTGGAGCAACCTGTCCTAGTGGAACGGGTTCCTGCCCTTGGCACCAGGGTTGCAACAAGACAATTTCTAAGGACCCATCCAAGCCAAGCCATTCCATGACTTTGAGATCAGAGGGGCTCGGGGCAGCTGGGCCTAATTTCTGATGAGAACCAGTTCAGCACTGTAAGTCTGGATGAGTTTAAGGAGACTGCTCACAAGCCCAGACTCCCAGCGCATGACATTTACCAATACTATAGGGGTGTCTGAGACCAAGAAAGTCTTGCACACTCCGGCTTCTGTCAGATTGCATTTTATTGAAAACCCAGCAAAACAGTTTCATGCTTGCCAGTCATATGGCCACTTAGTGATACGTGTTAATTAACATGTGTCCAAACAGATAGTGACACTGTCTATGGCCTTATTTCTGTCCAAAAATATTATAGATGTGATATGCATTCTATGTATTTTAAAACTGTATTTACGTAATAGACAACTTTCCTGTCCTAAATACTTACAGATTATAAATACATATTATGCATACAGATTGTAAATACAGATACGTAAATACATAAATAATTACAGAGCATAATATTTTCAGCGTAGATAATCATTCTAGATAGTCACTGTTGTCACTATAGATAGTGACATAATCTACATCTTGAATTTATATTGTTTAATTATCATATCTATTACAATGATTTTTTTCATTCTATAACATTTTACATATTTAGTAAACATTTAATAATAAATATATGTTATTTGCTGTAAATATATGGGAATTATCTCTAACTGGTTTTCTATTTAATTTCCATTTTATTTATGAAATTATTGTTTTGTATTAAATACAATACATGTATAGTATATATATATTTTTAGAATATCTATGTAATAAAAATTTTGCCTCAGAAATGCAGTAACTGCAGAGCATGAATATGTGTCACGACAGGAAGTGACATTACATATGTGCTCTATCTTTTTATAAAATAGTACGATCACTGATAAACTATTGTTCTCATTTGTATCTATTAAAAACACATCTGTTAGTAAAAAACTTTGGAGTTATATATATAT